TATTTTTTGCAAGAAATAGGAGCGGCCTTGTTAGAAATTAACCCGATTCTTTTATTGGAAGCATGAGAAGTGAAGACAGGAGAGGACTGTTTAAAATCAACAGAAAGTTTACTGAAAGTCTGATCACAGGAAAGTCTTACAGCGCTGGATTCAGAGAGACAGGGCTCCCACAGGAAAACCGGATTCTGCTTCTTGAATCATGTTTTACAGTGCATTTTATCTTCTTGGGCTGCTCCGCCCTGGACAGAGGTACAACATTCAACAGCTTTTGATCCTATTGTCCATTTGGTGTGAGTAGGTCAACCTCTGCTTGCGCTTGCTTGCTGATATGTGATCTAGACCAGGTGTGTGTGTGTGCGTCTCCGGCACCCTGATTCTGATCTCGAGGTGCACTCATCAATGGGTGGCCTGAGTTGCAGGCCCCCTGTGTGTGTGTGTGATGCTAATAAGTATGTTAAACTGGCCAGGTGGTCATCTCAGGTTGTATCCCCTGGCCTCTGCAGGACATCCCAAGACAAATCAAAGCTTGGGATATGCTAAGTGGGTCGAGGTGTGAGTGTAAAACAGGCCTTTGCTAAAATGTAAATAGGCTGGTCACAAGGAGATGCAGACATTCTGCCTCAACAGAAGTTACAGCATTCAAAGTAAGCAGATTTTACTTGATTCTCATCAATACAATTGTAAGATATATAAGCAAGGAAAATGTATTAAGAATAACCAAAGCTCAGTAGTTCTTGACAATCATCAATATAGCTGTAATATGTATAAACAAGGAAAATAAAGTTATGAAAGAGAACTAAAGGTATGAGAAGTAACTAAAGCTTATAAAGTAACTAGAGCCTCTAAGAATCAAATCTTACAGTCTACAACAGCACTCAGAGAGGTCCGTTAGAGAGGCTCCCCCCCAGAGGCAACTCAGTCACATATATAAGCTTTACACGGGGTTTGGAAGCATCGAAGGAAAGGAATGTGGACTGATACCATTCATGCACATGTGCTTCTGATTAGACAGAGGTCCTCGTCCTGGTACAGAGAGATACTTTAATAAGGGAGTACATCTTTCAAGGACAGGTTACGCTACATCTTGTTGCTGTGCAGAAAAGCTGAAAGTTCATACATTCAGTGTGACAAGGTTCAACTCATTCTGATGCATACTAAGTTACAGTTTAATGCATAAAGAGTAAAACCACAAGTTGCTTCCTGTTAGATTTTACCCAAATTCTTTTATTGAAAGTGCGAGAAGTGAAGACAGGAGAGGACTGTTTAAAATCAACAGGAAGTTTACTCAAAGTCTGGGCACAGGTGAAGCCATACAGCGCTGGGATCAGAGCAACAGAGCTCCCACAGGAAAACCGTTCTCTGAACCCTGAGTTACATGATTTCATTGCATTTATCTGCTTGGGCTAGGCCCGCCCTGGACAGAGGTACAACATTCAACAGTTTGTAATCCTATTGGCCATTTGGTGTAAGCAGGAGCTCACACCTACTTGCTGGAATGTGGTAAAATCCAGGTGTGTGTGTGTTTGTTGTGGTTTCAGGCGATGCTGGACAATAGGTTGTCTGTGTTGCAGACCCCCAATCTGTGAGAGCTATTCCAGGATGAAGCAGACCTTGTGACTATGCTAAACGGGCCTAGGGGAAGGTGCAAAACAGGCCAACAGGTCTTTGTTAAAATGTAAAATAGGCTATCTGGTTACTTGAAGATACGGACATCCTGTCTTTACAGAATTTACAGCATGCAGTTCCAAAGTTTCACTCAGCATAATACAGCAGTCATCAATACAGTTTTAATATGTATAAGCAAGGAAAATAAAGTTATGAAAGGTAACTAAAAGGAAACTAAAGTTATGAAAAGTAACTAAAGCTTATAAAGTAACTGGAGCCTATAAGAATCAAATCTTACATTCCACATATTGTATACCGTCCACCTGCCCCTTATTCAGAGTTTTTAACTGAATTCTCAGACTTTGTCTGATTTAGTGCTTAGTACAGATACAATCATCATAGTTGGTGACTTTAATATTCATGTAGATGCTGACAGTGATAACCTCAACAGTGCATTCAATTCATTAGACTCAATTGGCTTTTCTCAAACTCTAAATAAACCCACTCACTGTTTTAATAACACCCCTGATCTTGTTCTGACATATGGCATCGAAACTGAACACTTAATATTGTTTCCCCAAAACCCTCTTCTGTCTGACTATTTTCTAATAACTTTTGAATTTACATTAATGGATTATACACTATGTGGGGAAAAATTCCGTTACAGTAGATGTCTATCTGACAGTGCTGTTACCAAATTTAAGGAAATAATTCCATCATTATTTACTTCAGTGCCGTGTGCCAACACACATAAATGAAAATAAGAACCCCAGCATTTTTTCAGCACTGTAGCCCGGCTGACAAAGAGCCACAGTACTGTTGAGCTTAATATTCCCTTAGATCTCAGTAGCAATGACTTCATGAGCTTCTGACAATAAAGGAACCTTGAACCTTGATCTAAATCAACATGTCTCTTGGACCCCATCCCAACCAGGCTGCTCAAAGACGTCTTGCCCCTAATCAACACATCCATATTAGATCTGATTAACCTCTCTCTATTAACAGGCTATGTTCAGCAGTTTTTTTAAGGTTGCTGTAATTAAATTCAAAAAGCCTACTCTTGACCCAGGTGTTCTAGCTATTATAGACCAATATCCAATCTCCCTTTTATTTTTAAAAGCCTTGAAAAAGCTGTTGCAAAGCAGTTATGTGGCCACTTGCACAAGAGTGATTTGTTTGAGGATTTTCAGTCAGAATTTAAAGTCCATCATAGTACAGAAACTGCATTGGTGAAAGTCATCAACGATCTCCTACTAGTCTCAGACAAAGGACTTGTCTCTACACTTGTCCTCTTAGATCCCTGTGTTACTTTTGACACCACTGATCACGGCATATTATTGTCAAGAAACACAGTATAAATGTACACAGTTTCGCAGATGATAGTCAGTTATATTTATGAACCCAGATGAATCAGATCAGTTGGTCAAACGTCAAGCAGGTCTTAAAGCAGTTCCATCTATTAGTAGCTGGTTCATTTGTCCCGCCAGGCGCTCATGGAGTGAAGTTAGCTTCTTTAACTAGTAGGCATGGATCATGTCACGGCCTGGTGCTGTCCACCTCTTCATACTTGAGACCCTCTCTTGAATGTCTGCCATTATGATGATTACTGGGTCTTGTGCAGGGAGGTTGCTGTGGTCTGCTCTTAGGTCCATGAGCCACTGGGCATTGTTGTTGTGTGATGCCTCCTTCTCCCATATGCTTTTCCGGAATTGTTCAGTCTTGGTGGATCTGCTCTCATGTTATTCCCCTGCCACTGAGAGTACACCATGGATCGCTTTTTTCTCCTGGCTTCAACTTCTCTGATGTACCTCTTCAACTGGGTGGCCAGGGCTGTGAGTCTTTGCTTGGCAGTCTCTAAGGCCTCAGGTATGGACAGTGTGTTGTACTTCTTAGGTACCCCTTTCTTTATCATGCCTTTCTGCAGTTCCAATAGCTGGCTAACTTCTCTCCTTGCTGCCTTGATCTTGGTCTCCAACCTCCTTCTTCATGGAGGATCCCTATTGCCTTTGTTGAACTTATAGCCAAGCATCTCAAGGATCACGGTTGCTGTGGTGTATATGAGCCTGTTGGTCTCAGTGATGGTCGTAGTAGGGATTGTTCTTAGTGCTGCATTTACATCTAGTAGACTTTCAGAAGGCACTTCACTTAGTCTTGGTAACCGGCCACGGGAGTTCCAGGTGTCCATCTTGCTCATGATCTTCAATCTCAGGTCAGCTGCTCTTGAATCGAGCTCATCCAGGCCTGTTATTGGGGCTTGGTACCCAATCTCCAATTGTGGGGGTGATGATGATGATGATATCTCCCCCCTGATATCCTCCCCCCTGACCTGGCATCCATCTTGCTGTAGCATTCGTGTTGTACTTCATCAATCTCTAGTTGTAATAGCAGGTGCTTCATGCGGATGTTAGAGCACTGAGCTACTAGTTGTTTTGATGTTAGACTACATGTTGGGTTATGAAGTATCCATAGGTCCCACATCCTCAGTATGTAACCCCTCTCACTAGGGTTACTTGTGTAGTAGCATTCCAGTAGTTCACTGTTGCCCTGGTTCCTCAACATGCAGACCATGTTGACATCCGAGCCGGTGTGACTCTTATTTTTCCAACTCTCATTACCCATGAGGTAGGCAGGTAGCATTAAGGGCCTTGCCTAAGGACCCAGGTGGGGTGTTGACCATGCCCTGACCGGGGTTTGAACCCCCGACCTTCCAAAGTCAGTGGTGTTACCCACTGCGCTATCCCGTCTGACACACACACACACACACACACACACACACACACACACACATTTACATTTACATTTACAGATGACCTTGAATTTTCAGTTTAAACTGTCACATATTTTCATCCTGTTATTGAACTGTAACAGTTAACAATGGCTGTCTTGCGTTCTGTTAAATTGCCTTTTCTGCATCATTTTTACATAGGTTTCTATTTGGGCCACCAAGATTGTGTTTAGCCCCCATGGGGCTAATGTTTAAAAATAGCATTTATCCCTGATATGTAATGACTAACAGGCTTAGTACACTCCTACAACTCATCATTGGTCATTGGGACATTTTAAATATATACAGGCAATCACCGGCTCTTTTGGAACTAGGTTTTTGTGTATGGATGTTAGTGTCATTTTTGAGGAGTAAACATAAAAAGAACAATTAAGTTTTGATCAGCGCTGGATGATATTATAAATCAGAAAAAATATACCTCAGAGCGAATGTGTTTATATTCACATGCATGATTGTTGTAACACTAAGAATCAGAATGAGTGTTGCCATCAGAATGCTGCAACCTATTACTAATAAGACATGCTGTTTTGTTGTTTTTAACACTGTGCAGAGAAACTCTGTCTTGTTTGGTTGTAGTAATTAGTGGCTAATTCTCCTAATGTTCCACCAGGCCAGTTGCTGCAGGGCAAGACCAGGTTTCAGAACCGAGATCCAAGAGTTCAGCAGTCTGTGCAGAAGAGACGGTCTGGCGTGGACTGTGACCCTGATCAGGATGTCGTCACCACCACTAAAACTGAGGTAGCTACTCCACTGTGCACTAACACCAGAAAATCATCTTCACAGTGGCCTCTCTGTGTATGATCCCAAAATCCTTGATTTTGACATCCAGTATACAAGAAAAGTGAGTGCGCACTTGGGCAATATCACTTGCCCATGGCATGCTCGTTTTGCTCGTTTCCAGCCATTTAATGTTTAATCTTGGGTACCTCTAGATTAGCTTGAAACCCCTCATAATTCCAAATAGCCTGCAATTATTTCAGAATGATAAAACCAGAGAGCCTTTTCCTAAAAACGAGAGGATAGTATGTAAACGTGCATAACTCCTGTTGCTGGTGTTGTGGACAGCACAACCGCAATGGCAAGTCATTTGAATTTCTCCTCCATAGATAGGTAAACAACAGTATATGTACTGATGAGAAGAGATGTGTAACACTCTAAACAAAGTGGACAATTGAGAAACCCCATATTTTAACTGGCATAATGCAGACATGGTAACTTCTCCAGCCTTACAGCAATTCTCTCCAGCGTTACAGAAACAAGGCATTAGCAGACATGCAACATGTGTTTATTTTTTAAACTTACCGTTAAGGCCCACCGAGTAGTGGAAACATCACTCCCTTTCAAGTAGCTCCAAGGTTGGTAAATCCAACCATTTGATTTCTAACAAAATCAAATATTACATCATGATAGTTTAAGGATTTCCTTGAATAAACCTAGTTGCTCCTTCATAGAAGTACTAGAACATATATTCACCTCATTTTTTGAGCTTTAGCTCACGTCTAAGATGATAATTCGCCGTTGTAACATTGTAGATAAAAAAAAAAACAGGAATAAGCATGCCACGGGCTCTTTAAATGTCAAATTGTGTGAGACACAGTCCCATCCCCTCACATACTGTGGTTGGTTGGTGAAGTGGTCCAGAATCCAATTTGATAGAATTGAGGTCCATTCCTATATACTCCAGATTGTCAGAAGCCCTGTCTGTATGGTGTTAAGAGCACTGGAGAGGTCAAAGAACATGATCCTCGCAGTGCTCCCCAACTTCTCAAGGTGAGAGGAGAGCTCTGTGTAAGAGGTAAATGATGGCAAAATCTACCCCAATGCCAGGCTAGCAGGCAAACTGAAGCGGATCCATAGATGAGGTCACCAGAGGGTGAAGATGGACCGGGACCAGCCTCTCCAGTGTCTTCATCAGGTGTAGTTAGAGGTTTGTTTAAAAAAAGTGAGAAAAGAGTGAGAAAGACAATGTAAAACTGTAATACAAAGTTTTATTTTTATATGCTTGTTAGGTGGTGATGTAACATTCTGTTTCCGGGTCCAAATTTCAGTTCATTCTCCCCTCTATATATGCCACAGTTGCCTTATCATAGCTCTGAATCAAAATCACAGGTCAGCTGTCACTTTACTGCTTCTGTTACGATAGGAAGGAGAAAAAAATGGCTACAGTTAATTACATAAGTCACAGTATTCTTAAATTAATGAAAATAAAGCTTCTAAAAGTGTGCCGATTTGCTGCCTTGTAATGTAGCTAGCGAGTTAGCACAAAGTTCATGTAAACACTATTCTGTATAGTGACACATTTTACACTGATGAAAATAACAGTAAAAGCTGGGAACTATTAAAAAGGAAATCCATAAAAATGAGTTAGACATAACTTGAGATATAGTGAAATATATAGCTATATGTTGGAATAAATTAACTGTGATGTATAATAAAGGTTAGTTAAGCCACCAGGCAGAAGGCAGCACTGTCATGTTTTTTACTCTCAATGATGCGTCACTAAAGAAAAAAGATGTTATTTTGTGGAGTGTGACAGGCTCCGTCGTATGGGTCTGAGGGCATTTGGACCCAGAAATGGAATGTTGCATCAAACTTAACAAGCGGGTTACAGTTTAATTTTTCATTAAAGAAAAGATTTAAAAAAATGTATGCTGTCAATTATAATTCTTAAAAATTTGGAATTGGCAGGTCAGACGTGAAAAAAATTGGAATTGGACAAGAAAATTGCAATTGGTGCATCTCTAGAAATGTCACAAAGATGGAAGAGGGTACAGGAAGTTCTGTGACCAAGAAGAAAAGAGTCATAACACAGTGGCAGCATGAATCAAGAGATACAGAACGAGCCATAGTAGCACTAATCAGAGCTGCAGTGGACATTCTCCTAAAAATGACACCATGGACAGTGTGGTGCTTGCATGGTCTAGCTCTGGAAAAATAGATAGAAAGTGTTTCCGACTTGGCACATTATTTATCAGTGGAAACTGGAGTTTTTGTGGGTCCTACAAAACCGAAAAACTGAAAATGATGTCTTAAGACAGGGGTGCCCAATACGTCGATCGCGATTGACCGGTCGATCGCAAAGGTAGTGTTGGTAGATCGCGTGCCATTCAAAAATAAATTAGATGTATCTGGCATAAAACACGTGCCAAATGTTAACATGGGAATGATCAGTGTGACGATTCACTGTGGCAACCCCTAACAGGAAAAGCTGAAAGTGACAATCATTCATATATAGCCTATCATCCATCCTCCCTATGACATTTGCTACTTGATTGACATGCAGGGCAGCCAGTCTGAGATCTTGTCTTTTCTGACACACGAGTCACCAAGCATCCACATTCAACAGCACGAGCTACTGCAAAACCCCAGTGAGCGAACTACCTCGTCAGCCTTCGAATTAATTTCTACTAAAGGGTATAAAATGAGTGGGGGAGCCCAATCAAGTAAGAAACCGAAAACGTACCGAAAACATTCCATGTGGAATGGGAGGACTTTTTTTTTCGTGACGTTACATTCGAAGTGCATTTGCTTGATCTACCATCACTATTCCGAAGAAGGGAATGTGGAGTGGCACTTTCAGACTGTTCATAAAAACTAGACCCCTGTCTTAAGATGTCTTATTTTGTTTGGCCAAAAGTCAAAGATATATGACAAAAGCCCCTTTTACACTTCCCATTCAGTACTGGCATGGTGGGTCAATGTTGACCCTCCAAAATGCCAAACAGGAGGTAATGTTCCTACCAAGACAAGATTGCTCCATCTCCTGAATAAACGGGACAAGGCGGAATGGGGGGTTGGACGTACACTGGAGAGAACAAGAGCTAGAGAATGAATGAGGAGTGAGAGCAGCATCGATGAGAACAAAATGAATCAAAGAACTGAAACTTTATTTTGTGATCATTTCACTGTGGTTATGTTCTAAAGCATGAATAAATACAGCCACAACTCTGCACAACCTTGTGGGAAGGATTTTGTGTAAATGCAGCACACTTTTTCTGTTCTGGTCTGTACCTTGTGTCTGTGTAGCCCTGCCACCAAACAGACACGGACCTCAAACTGGATCCACATAGTAGGCTACTGTAATTCCCAATTTTTATTTATAAATATATCAAACAAAATCAAATAACAGTTCATTTTTTTCATTTTCAAATTGGCTGTGAAGTACATGGACCGTTGGACATTATGATAAGGATCATGTCTGTGGAGCAGCAGTTTGCTGGCTTTTTTAAGTTCATTCTAAAATTAATTATCAAAAAAGTTGCCTTGAACGAGGATCAGAACACTGTCAGTTTGCCATGATCTCTGTGTGAAAGAGGCTGAAGTGAATTTGGACATAATCTGATTTGAAAGGCTGGAATCGGAATATTTGTTTTACTATTTTTGTTTGAAGCTGATTTTTTTTTTCTGTTGATTCACTACTCAGCTAACTGTTTGAGGTCTGATGAGATAGTTATATTTCACTTCTAATAGAAGTCATTTTGAATCAGTTTGTCCTCTCAGTCAGCAGAGCCTGAGGATGAGAGGGAGCTGCTAATTGTCAAGGTGGAGGGAGCACTGGAGCCTGGCAGCAGCAATAACAAGACATTGGTAGGTGCCTGTATCAGCACCAGAGGGGGCACTGACACTGCCACATCGTTACCTGCCACCTCAAAGAATGATAGCAACAGCCAGCCAGCCAGATGCCACAACAAAACGGAGGTCAGTGGATCTGACACTGTCACATTTGTTGTCGGCAGGACAGCTAAAACTGACAGCAGCAGCACCACACACAGCTCCCAGCTGACAGGAAGCAGTGTCAGAGCAGAGGACAGTCAGCCTCTGAACTCTGTCATTAACATCATGCCACACAGGGATGAAGTGCCAACTTGCTTTGATGATGCAGTGGATGGCATTAAAGATGATGAGGCTGCATTAAACACCTCCAAGTCCTTTCTGTCAGAGGTGATAGTCATTGATGGAGGGGGGGCATCAGATAAGGAGGGGGAGGCGTGTGAGTGGTCACATGTAGATAAGGCAAACAGAGAAACAGGCAGAAGTATAGACAGACATGAACAAACTTCATTACCCATAATTCAGTATCTTGGGCTGGAATCAGTAGAAAATAGGTTGATGCAGGAAGGGTCTGTTCTTCCTTGTGATGACCCTCCAGGAACATCTGGTGGTGGAATTGCCTCCAGTGTTAATTCTTCCAGTGATGCCCCCAGCCTGGCTGTCCACTACCCCGTGCCCCCCCCCAACAAGAGTGGATACAAACCCCCCTTCCTCAGCTGTACCATGCTGTCACCACAGAGCGTCTGTATGGCTGCACCAGCTGCACCAAGCGCTTCTTTCTGCAGTCTGACCTGCAGAAGCATATGGCCAGGCACACCAGGGAGAAGCCCTACACATGTCTACTGTGCAGCAAGAGCTTTGTGTGTCAGAGCCAGCTGGACATCCACCGCAACGTCCATACCGGAGACAGGCCCTTCAGCTGCTCCATCTGCAACAGATGCTTCTCTCACCCCAGTAACCTCAAGAGGCACCAGAAGATCCAGCATTAAACAACAAGACCAGACCCCCACAACACCGCTGTACCAAAGTGTCCCTGAAGAGGACTAGTTTAGGAGTTTCTATTTCACTCTTCAATTATGAGGCTTATTTTTGAAGATTTCTTTGAGGGATTTATTAGAGACAGGATAAGGAAGAAATTCAGAGCAGGGTAAAGTAAGATGGAGGAGTCAAAATTAAGAATACAAGCAGCACCTCTGTAGTTTGACCATCGCAGCATCTCAAGTTTTGTCATCCAAACATTCACAGTTTTATTTGAAATGTAGGTAGTCTGAATCTAGTGTGGGAATGGCGGACATGAATAGTGACAATTGTTATATCAAGAATTACTGAATGTAAATGCATTGGGGGGTTGCAGAAAAAAATCACTGCCCATAAATCACCTTAGAAGTGGAGATATAAATATTGATTTTAGGTTTTAAATCCCACCATCCTAAAGTTTGTTCTGCGGCCTTGTAGTTTATTGAGCAGTACCAGGGAGTATAAACCGATAAAAAAAAATAAAAATAAATATCCAGGTAGTGACCCACCTGGTTAATAGCTCAATGATTTGAGATCAGTAACATATGATCAGCTGACAGGAGATGGAGAATCATTTTAACATAAAAACAAATAAAAGCACTATCATGACTGAGATTATCAACATAAAGCTGTCTGAATTTTTCACCTGAGAGCTGTTTTTATGCCATAACATTAGTTTTAGAAGAGACTTACAGTATGTCAACAGGGAGACCCCGGAACAACATAAAAATGGTTAAAGATCACAAATTATACTCATTTTCAAATTTGTATTGTTATTTAAAGGTTCTAGTAGAAATGTTTTACACTCCTTGTACATTCATTAAGTTCATTAGCGTTCTCAGAGTGCCGGTAGGGCCAGACCCTCTTTTCTTCTTTGTGTGAACATGCTGTTTTAAATCCTGCCCCCCATCCCTAAAACACAGTATGCTCAGATTGGTCAGCTCCCACAGCATTGAACAGGAGCCGCCTACCGAAAATCCAAGTCCTATTTCTGGATTCCAGGCAGCTCTGGCCTTCGGCGTTACCTCTGCTAGCGTCATTAGCCACCATTATCTACATTTCCGCCATACATTTGACCACAATGTGCTTCTAAACCAAAAACTAAATAACCACCAATGTTCTACTGTCACAAATCTGCTACAGTGATGCCACTCTTGTCACACCTCGGCAGTGCTGTTTAATAGAAAAATTAGCTAATGTGGCTAAGTTAAACAGGCTAACTTCATGCACAAGCAATAAAATAACTTTAAAATAGCAGCACTTAAAGCATCAGGATGTGAGGTAGACTCATAGACAGTTGGAATAGAGCCACTCTTGAGCTTCAGTCTGGAAGTATGTTAAATCCAGTGTTGTATAGACCTTCGTGGAGAAAGCACTGATGTGGAATGATTTGCACGTAACATGAAATGTTTTAAGGATATCTTCAGGAGCATTTCCACAATAAATATATAGGGGTGTATATATAGCCTCTTAAGTCACAAAACACAAAACTGTGTAGGTGTATTTTGAAATGTTTTAACTAATCATCTTTTAACTTTGAGTATGAATTGTCATTTGCAGTAAAAGACAATATGCAAGCTCTATAAAAGGTTTTGCCACAAACTCAGCTGACTGACTTTTCTCCTATATGATTTCACCTAAGTCTCTTTAGACCTTATAACTGTGCATGGACTATGCTTGAGCTTCTAACTTCTTATTGAAGCTGCATATACAGTATACTTCTATGCCATTTTCACCCTCACCACACTACCCTGGATGATGACATCATCTGGCAAAGGTGCTGCATTGACCAGTCATGTACGGGCGACGATCGGGGATGTGGAAGCCCACAGGAAGAAGGTTTTTACCTTGTTAGTATGAGCATTCACTGCTATTCACTGTTGAATTTGGGCCACAATTAAAGCACCATAACGACATGCCATGCGTTTTCATTAGTACTGGATGTTAAATGATGTCTTTAATCTGTAAATGAAGACACACTGGTGGTAGAATTGGTGCTAAGGTAGAGTAGGCTACGTTGGCAGCATGGCTAACCAAAACACAACAGAAACTCACCAGCTGGTAACATAATGAAACCACTCACATTGACATGTTGAACTGTCACTTTGCCGTCACACTCTGTCGTACTGGCTACTGCTGTTTCTTTTATGTACTGATATCTCAAGACAGGTTTTGCCTCAACATAAAATATTGTCATGTTTTAATATCGTGAGATCTCGTGGCATGAGATCTTGTCACACCCTTATAAATATACATCTACTGTGTCTTCACTGGCTCTGAGGATGGAAGTACTGTAGGTAGAGACCTTTGAGCATGTTTGTGCAACCAACAACTCAGCAGAATCCATGCTTTACTCTGAGCTGTGCCATGTTGCTGTTCGTCTGCTATCCTAATGAGAAAAATACAGTGGAGGACCGATAGCACCAAACAGATCTGAGTGGGAAGAGGATCTACGAAGCGATCTGCCGCATCATTTCTTATGAAGAGAGACAAAACCAAACAGCGTGCTCGAGCGTGGGCTTTTATAATTGTGGAAAAAGCAAAACAGACAGGCACTGCTTTCTCATGTTTTGTATACACACCAGAGACCCATGTGAATGTCAGAAAATGCTCTAAAGGTGCATTTTGCATGTGTCTATTAAATCTCTTCTTCATCCCAAATGTCAGTCCAACTTCTGTGTCATGCACTCCCACACACAAGGTGCCATTCAGACGTGTTCTGACACTTGTACATATTGGATTCATGTCTGATTAAGTCCCCAAGTTACTTTTACATAAAGGTCATGACAACAGTTTACAAATGGATCAGTTATAGGAATAAAACAAGTCCCAATTTCTCTGCTTGTGCACTTTGGGGCTTTATAAGCTAGTGTTCTGGGACATCAGAAATAATTAAATTGATGAGATAATGTATTAGAAGGCTAACTGTAAGCATAAACATCCCTCAAATACACAGGTTTAATTTCCTTCCTTATTAAATTGGGATATATTTAGTACAACTCACTAAACACTTCTTGAGTGCAGAGAAAAGTCCAGATACCAACAAAAAGTCAACAAAGGAACATCAGTATAAATTGAATATCATTACCATTAATTAAAGATGCATGACTGCATCTTCTTGGCAGATTCCGATTTCAAATTTATTTTTTCTTCTGGGCTGACCTGCTGATTATGGTTTTGGCCAATGCTGATTCTCTTTCTTTCTAAGAACTGAAATTGACAGCCTAAACAGACATTTTTGTAATTTTTCTTTAATGAAAGATTAGCCATAAAACAAAACAAAACAAAACATTGCTTCAAAGTTTTACATTTTTATTAACAAACATCTAAGTAAAAATAAAGTGCAATATTTGAGCCTAGTTTGAGTTGCATGCAAGATGCTACGTGCTGCACACACTACACTTTCGGTCTGTGCCACTGCATGCACGATATGGGCTATCCTGCCACTGAATCTGATTGGCCCAGAATCAGAAATCTCAGAGTGACCGGCCAGTCACCAGTCAAGGCTGAGAACCGGCCACTTCCGATGCATCAGTGCATCCCATTGATCACACCTCAAACCCAGCATACAGTATCTTTCCAGGCTGAGTAGTGTTATAAAAACAGTATATTAGTGGCTTCAGATGACTGAGAGAAAGTCAGATGACTGACTTACTGTAGCAACAGTTTTTATATTGTATATTTTAAAAAGTGTTTCAGTGCACTGAGAATAATGGAATCATGTTTTTACATCTAATTAATAAAGATATTTTTCTCATCACATCATTTTATATTTTGTTTTCTAATGAAACTTTTTCTTTAGCTCAGTAACCAAGCACAATCAATGCTGTGATTAAACTGTATACTACATTTCTAAATAATACTGTATCTGTGTGTGAGCTGTTGGAATGTGCTTTGTGCAGTATTGTACAGTAAATGGCTTTCAAAAACCTGGGTTAAGTTTTCCTTTTTTCAGCACAGAGGCATCACTGTACTTTTACACCTTACATTACTTTCTCTGGATTTTTTTTCTCTGAGTTCTCAGCTCTCCGTGTATGATTTACTCTTTGGCCTCAGAATGGAAGTAGTAGAGGGATGCAAAGATGGAAGATTTGCACAAAGTGACTGAATGATCTCCATGAAATTGATTACTGTATGTTGAGCACATAACTCACACATCATTCTAATGACAACTGATTGAAATAATTATTACTGTGTCAGAGCTTTTTGTTTTTTTTGTGTCAGCTAAATCCTTCTCTCCTCTTTCCAGGGCCAGGGACATCTGGACGTCACGAGCAGCCCTCAGAGCAAAGGGGAAAAGATGGAGGAAGCAGAAGGTAGCTGTCTGTTTTTCTGTCACCTACAGTATCAATAGTTATTTCAGCCTGCACCATTATCATACACTGTCTGCCCAAACAGCAAAGTAGGTGTTGCAGCTTGACTTGAATCATTGTCAGACTGTACAGAGCATATCTGTATTTACAGTACCACCTCAACTGTTCTGTGACACTTCATATCAGACAGAATAAAGGCAGAAAAACTGCTAACAAATATGCAAAGATGTTTTCATCTTTTAAAAGCTTATAATGTCCTAAAACAGCTGGCCATTAGAGTTTTTATCAGATAAACAGGAAGGAAAAGGATCCACTGGGGAGTTATTTTCATCAACATGAATCCACATTTGGTGGTACTCTAGTGAGTATTTGTGGCAACAGGACAGTGTGTGTGTTCATGCTAATGAAAGCTGGCTCCGTGATGTATTTTGAATCGCTTCTGGACCGCAGTCGAGCTCAGTGTCAGTGTTAAGATATAAGATATATCGATCTTTGATACACACACAGTAGGTGTTAGATGGCAGACAAAGTGTTTGGATTTGATGACAGTAAGACAAGTATAAAATATCACCAGACTGAAGTTTCTCCACACTTAGTAAGATTTCCAGCCAAATTCCATACAAAATCTGGAAATTCAGCTATAAAGGAGCACAGCAGTGTTTTTTTTTTTTGTTTTTTTTTTATATCAAAGTCCAACAACTACAAATGACATTTGGCTTGCATACATACTGTTGTACAGATTGATTTGATATCAGTGTTTCCCCCAGATAATTTTTCATGCATGGTGGTAAGAGGATGATAGAGGTTTTGCACCCATGCACTAAAATCTTTGCTTACTTATTTCTTGCACAATACCACACTTGGTTGGTAATTTCCATGTAAAGGCCATGTAAAATGAGGGTATTAATAAGATGTATTTATTGTACACAAATAACTGTCAAAGCTACCAATTACCTCACCATCAAAGACATTAGAACAATCTTTAAGAAAAATAAATAAAAAGATAAAATCCACATAATGAAATGTATCAAACCATAAAACTATAATAAACTTTAAAATTGGTGCAAACTGCAGTTTGAAGCAAACTGCTCATTTTCTCATCATGACATTGCGCATGACTCATTGCTGCACTTAATTTTTCTTGGCATTGAAAAAAATTTCATCATGGCATCAAAGTATAAACATTTTCCCATAGCTCTGCATCCCAGCCAGATGTTTTGTTTGCCTCTATGCATTGGTTCGCATGAGGCTTGCATTTGACATGTAGCCTGTATACGTTGTTCCCCGATGCTTATGGTAAAACCGGAGCCCTCACCCCTTTTTACTGATACATGGTTACGTTGGTGTGAGGTATTTAAAGCGCTGACAAGAGGCAAACAGTGACACTGTGTTTCCACAAGAAAATATTTAAACCCAAACCTACAGTAACTTGGAAAAACCTGGATGAAGACTCAATGAAGGTAACACCTTGATTCCGTATACCTCTGTGTACGTACAAAATCCAATAAAAGCAGTATTCTCAGGTCGCACTCATTCATGGTTTTCATGTATTCTTGAGCTTATTCGTTTTTCTTATCACAGCTGTCAGAAGTGGATCAGAGATAAAGCAGGGAGGAGATGAGGAGAGAGAGGCACCTGACAGAGACTCCCAAATGCAAATAAATATTTCCAAATGAGTGTATATTCGACGCTACTATATTAAAAAGAAGAAGACTCGTGGGCATGATGGGGGTCTCATTGGCATCCTTGTACTGTTACAGGGGAATCACTTATACTGTCAGCTGTTGGTTCTACTTTAGTTCAGATTAAAACCAGCCTTTAAAGACCTGAGCATATTTTTTACTGCATGTCTTCATCTCCATAAACATTTTAAAAAATGTCATTATTGTTATGTAGTAGTGCAGGGTCAAAGAAAAGGGCTGCAGCAAAAACATCTGCAAAACTGATGTTTCCAGAGAGTCACCAGATTATTGTGATCTGTTCAAATTTTTTTAAGAGTATGTAGTTTGATTTTTCAACATTTTCTTATAAGTTGGTGTGTTAATTTATTAATCAATGGTAAAATAATTGGCAACAATTTTGATATTTGACAATGAAATTATTTTTCCAAAAGCTGTAGAAAAAATTTTCAGCCTCTAAAACATGAAGATTTTCTGCTTTTCTCAGTGTCTTTGATAAGACATTTGAAGATGTAATCTTGGAGTCTTTAAGCAGACATATATACTGTAATACTTTTATAGAGCACTCTTTGTAAAGGTAAATACTAAATGTTTTTTTTTATTTTGTTTCTTTGCTGTGGGCTCATTAGGTGACACCCCAGAGAACGCTTGTGCCTCCCAATCGCTTCTGGACTGGCAGGAGAGTAGTGAGACTGAAGAGATGGGGCAACCATCTTGTTCCACATACACATTAGAAACTGTAGCATCATTCAGCAAAACAAGGATCAACTCTGTCTGTGGGTTCCGCACTATTTCCAGAAGGCCTCAGGGCGACATGGACCAGGCAAGCCCTGCATCTACATATGATATCAGTGTGATCAACTCACAGCCCAATGCAGCAGAGGACAATTGCACGGGGGAGCTGTTGCCTGGACAGGGTGGAGGTGACAGAGCTGATGAAATGACATCTCTCAGCAGTGTGAGGCCAGGGTATCAGCCGCTGCTGTGTATTCAGATTGGTAAGCCCCCCAATGAAATGATGTTTGAAGGTAACCACATCTCTGCCTTTACCAAGTCCCCTGTTGCAAGGGGAACAGTAGACTCCCAGCAACAGGAAACTCAACATTCATGGTCTAGAGTTGGACAGATGGACAGGGTCCACTTCTCCAGTCAAAGCCATCTTTACCAGGCCTCCAGCAGTCAGAAGCAGGAATCTGGGCCAGTACAGTCCCAACAGCAGCAGCATTCCTCTCTCCCTTATGCCTGTACCTTCTGTTCACGGCGCTATGCCCACCAGTGCCAACTGCGCATCCATGAGCGTGTCCACACAGGAGAGAAGCCGTACCAGTGCATCCAGTGTGGGAAAAGCTTTGGCCAGTTCTGTAGCCTCAAGCGCCATCAGATGGTTCACACAGGGGAGAGGCCATTCCCTTGTCCCCATTGCGGGAAGCAGTTCTCCACCTCCACTAATTTGAAGGTCCACCAGAGTGTCCACACCGGGGAGAAGAGGTTCCAGTGCTCCAAGTGTGGCAAGAATTTCTCATTTCTCAGCAACCTGATTAGGCACCAGGCTCTGCACAACACCAGATAGGGTCTAGTCTGATTAGTGACCACTCTCATATGTACCCAAGTGGACTAATGCAGTCAAGGACAACAAAGGCTGTTTTATGACATGTTCATATTCTTCTTCTTTGGATTCACTTTGAAAAATGTTTCTAAAACTCCTGCTCATTAAAAGAATGCCTGACAGTTTTCATTAGACTCCTTGTAACTTGGTGAATCATGTTTATTTCAGAAAAGATCTGATGAAAAGTGAGTCGTGTACTTTAGCATGAAGTCTACATTCACACTGAGTCCAGCAAAGTTACTGCTGTGTTTTTATGTAAGGGGCGGCATTGTTCAGGGGGTTGAAGGATTCAGGAGTGTTGTGGACATGTACGATACAGCCACATTGTGGTGAGTTGGAGTGGCTTCATTCACATTTCAACCCTGCGAGTTTCTGCTGCATTTTGGTTAGCCATGCTGCTAACATAGTGTACTATATGTTAGCACCAATTTCTACCGCCAGCTTTGTCAGCATTGATAGATAAAAACACAGTTTAAAATCCAGGACCCTAACTAATAAAAATGCAGGGTGTCTCGTTATAGCGCACTAACTGGCCATAATTCGAGAGTGAATACTGTAGCAGTGAATGTTCATGCTAACAAACCAAACAAAAGAGTCTTCTTCCCATGGATGTCCATGTCCCTGTACGTGATTGGTCAATGCAGTGCATTTGTTGGATGATGTCATCGTCCGGTGCAGGAAGGGTATAGACCAGGGGTGGCCAATTCCAGTCCTCGAGGGCCGCTGTCCTGCTTGTTTTCCAGCTATCCCTGCCTGGCCTGCTGCTGATTACCTGGCTCAGGTGTGTTCAGCCAGTCAGAAGCTGGAAGATACCATCTTAGATGAAAGTGGAGTGAGGAAAGATAAAGTGAATTGGTATCTTAGTATCTTTAGTTACACAATAGAATGTATAATAGGTTTAGCATTACAGTCATTTACCTGTCATTAAGCCATAGAGCACAGATGCATATGTGAACACTATACTAAGAACGCTCCTTGATTTTGATATTTTCATTTGATTACTTTTCCATCAGACAGCCCTTTCTGATGAAGAACTAAAGCTGTTGTACCCATCTATGCTTTCTTCAAAGCCACCAGACTCATTTGGCAAAACAGCAGCTGTAGACTAGCAACTCCTGTGCTCAGCAAGGTAAAATTACTGTTTATCAACAGAGTTTAATGGCTTTAATAAAAAGACTCCTGTGTTCTACAAGGTAAAGTTTGTGTTTTTGTCAGTGGGCTCTGGTGATTTTTGTAAAGGGCTGTCTGAGGCAAGAAAAAGTGGTGCAAATAATCTAAATATAGAGTACACAAACTTTAACAGGCATGCCAACAGTAAATGATAGTGGCTATATATAGTAACATTAATCCTAAACAAAGAACCCTCTGCTTTACTACATTTAAACACTCACTGGCACGCTAACCTATTCTTCCTACTTCTGTTTATGGTGTGATGTCTCGTCCTCTAATTGGTCCATTGGGATGTAACTTGAGTGAGGTAACTTGGGGAGCCTAATGTGAGGTGATCTGCACGCCGCAACCGGACCCTATTGTCCAGTACGGCAAAAGTTGAACCAGATCCAAATTTTTCATAGCACAGGACTGCATCATTTTGCTGGAGCCCCATGCAGTGATGGTGCTGACTGGGGTGAATGCACATAATGAATGGAGAGAGCTGCATTTGGCTTAATACTGAACAGTCTCAGAGATCTGATTGTTGTGTGTAGAGATTTGAAGACAGACTATGGGACTATCAGCAAAGCAGGTCGTGTTTGCAAGCTCCCTTTACTTTCAGTTCATGTACATTTTACTTACATTTGCTCATGGTCATAACCTGTTCAAATCACTGGAACAAACAAGAAAAACAGAGAAAGCCAATAATATTAATAAACACCATCTCAGGTCCCTCAAAAAAGTAGCTACAGCACTGAGCCAAATGTGCACAGCAGTGTTCACTTCCAACAAGTCAGCCTGTGGTGCGGTATGGAGGAGAGGAGTGAGAGCTGCTGCAATGGGAGCTTCTCTGTGGAAAGTTTAACCAGCCACACCAATTTAATTCAAACCAGGTTACCTTAGTAATGAATGTAATTTATGCTAACATGACTCAGTAATGAAAGTATGTCTGGACGCTAGCCAAATAAATTGTGTTGCCATAGGGACACGATCGTGCCCCCCTGGTGGCTGGTTGCAGTATAGATCAAAAATCCTGCCTCCTCCATGTTGGTAAATGGGACATGAGCCAAACTATAGACTCAAAGTATATCATGGGAATATTGCCATTATGGGATTAAGGGGGAAATGGAGTTGACCTTGGCAGAGGTTGCACTCTGAGTGGTGTCTAGTTATATGTATTCATGCTTGTATATTCTTTTTCAAATGTAGTTAAATTATGTATTGGAGTATTGTTAGCATTATTACATTAAGAACTTTTCTTGTTCTCTTTTTTCCCTTGCCCTGCTGTGTTCACTCTAATGTTGCGTGTTAGTGATGTGTGGATCAGTCCTGAAATATAGATACTTACAATCCCACTGTTTCCTGTTGTACGATTGATTCTTATAGTAAAAAGATCTATATCTAAACTCAGTTATTTTGATGTAGCCTAAACATATATTATATTATCAAAAGGGGACACAATAGAAAGTAACTACAATATTATCAGTACTGTTATGATTTTATAAAATAAATTTGGGCCCAAATACAGACAGGCACAACCACACGACCATCGCTTATAATGTCCAGGAGGAGTCCAGGAATTTGGGTGTGCCCACAAAACAAAACAGGGCACTGCCACCCAGGGGCGACCTACGAAAGACAAGGTTGCTGGAGTTTCAGGCTCCAGCTGCAATGAGCAACCCTTCCAGTGGGCGGGCCAGAGACCAGGCTGGGAACCGGGGAGGCCACTCGGGAGGACAACCTCAGTGACAGGCAAGAGTTCAGTGAGGTCTCTCGGTAGGACAGCCAGGGATGATCTTGTCGGCGCACCAGAGAGGTGATGCATCCATGGGGAAGTCATCCTCTGGCACTTGGGGAGCAGGAACTAACAAAGCTGGTCGCCGTCTGTGCCAGTGACCACCATCCCGGGAGACAGGATGCAGTTCCGGAACAGACAGGGGCTGCCACAGATCAGGCACAGCCAGAGACAGCTGAAGCTCGAGCACCGGCAGGGACAGCTGAGGCAGGGGCTGCAGCTTGGGGACTGGCTGAGATGGAGGCTGCAGCTGAGGAACAGGCTAATATTGAGGCTGCAGCTGTGGAGCCGGCTGGGGACGAGGGCGGGGCGTGGAGCAGGCTGGGACAGAGGCTGCAGCTGTGGAGCAGGACTGAGGAGTGGGCTGCAACTTGGAGACAAGCTGAGGCAGAGACCACAGCTGGGAGACAGGCTGAGGCAAGGGCTGCAGCTGTGGAGCAGGATGGGGCTGACCCTTCCTCCTGTGTCTCTTTCTCTTTCTCTCAAGTCCTCGAGGACAGATGGCTGAGTTGGTTCCCAGGAAAGATGAAGGCTCAGGAACAGGTCAGAGCTGAGGCTGCAGCTCTGGAATTGGTGGAGGCAGCTGCAGCTTGGGCTGGGGACAGCTTCATCTTCCTGTTCCTCATCTCTCTAACTCGTCGGGACGAAGAACGAGACGCATCCCCCAATAAGGTGAGAGCTTGGGGTCCGGGAACGGAGTGTGGTGAAATATGTCCTGAGACACAAACACTACCCCAAGCTGGATGGTGGGGGAAACTGTAGGAGGAGCACGGGTGGGCTGGAGCCTGGCAGCCAAGGGTCTGGAGGTCAGTTGGGGATGGAGCAATGCATGGCAG